ATCCCAGCGTACGTCAATTCACCTTTACATCGTTGTCTGCGTTTCGTCGTCGCTACAATTCGCCCCCCTGGGTCGATTATTCCTATTTCTGCACCACGCATTCCACTACATCACGGCTCGAGACATGCACCTGAAGCCATAGGAGGCCAATCGTCCAACTACCTACGTCACCTTGCCCGCGCGCCGATCTTGCTGGGTCTTTGTCCCGGAGCCGCCTCGATGAGTGTAGGTTGCCTTACCCTTGTCGTCTTGTCGTGCAGAGCGTCTCTTGTCGACCATCCCGTCAACTAACTGTTCCTCCTCGGCAGCGCTCGGTGAGCAAAGCCGCTCACTATGCGCTGCAGCTCGACGAAGCTCGCTGCGAGGGCGACTGGGACGCAGTGCCGGAGTTTGTGCGGAAAGTACGAAAGCATGCATCGAGTCGCGCCTGTAAGTGCTTGCCTGCTGCGCTCCTTTCGTTTGCCATTTTACCCTTGCCGTTGAAAGGCACTGACGTTGTAACGCCCTTTGTGCGCAGGTCTCACTCTGACTGCCGAAACCGAGTATGCAATCGAAAAGGCCACCCGAAGCCACCCTCCCCCCGGTCGCGCAGCTGACGCCTCGGGCCCTGCTGCTGGCCTCGACACTGCGACGCTGCTGCCCAAGCTGCAGGCCGTCATCGACCAAGAAGACGTCTTCTTGCAGGACCGCTTCCAGGCGCGGGTCTGCGTCGGCTGGTTGCACTGGGTGGCGGGCCAGTACGATGCCGCCCTGGCCCAGCTCCCCGAAAGCCTTGAGACCGAGCTCACCTCCTCGGACCGTCCTGTCGAGAGCCTTGTTGTAACGGACTGGACGCGGGTGTGTGCTCTGAAGTCGGCGTATCTGAGAGCCAACTGCCTAGCACGCAAGGACCTGCGGAAAGAAGCGCTGGCAGTGTTCGAAGACGGCCTCCCGTGCATCACAAGCGCGCACGCCGTTCAGCAGTCCAGGAAACAGCTGCGGTACTGGTCGGAGCTGTTCCTGACCGAGTACTGCATGCTGCTGAGCCACACCCTGGAAAAGGGCGACGCGAGCTTGGAGGACCCCAAGTGCCTGGTGAGCTTCCGCTCGTGGGCCAAGTACTGGGAAGGCACCAACGGCGCGGCACAGCTGGGCGGCTTTGGCTTCCGCGGCTCCGTCCCGCGCCGGCGGATATGGTTCGAGTACTACGCTCTCCTGTCCGCGCTCCTCGAAGACGACCTGCCCTATCCGCCTGGTTACGCGCCGGTGGGGACCGGCGGCGAGTCGTCTGCACGGAGCCACCTACGAATGGAACTTAAAAGGGTCGAGGCCGTCTACGAGACACTCCTTCTCGAGGAGACGTCGTTCCCACGTGCTGAGGATGAGCGCAAGGAGGTGGAAGAGTTTGTGCGCCTCGTCGTGCAGAACTGGTCTGTGTTCAAAGGGCGTGGTTGGCGCGAGTCAGACCTGGGTCAGGGTGGGCGTGAGTCGGCAAGCCGCAGTGTCCTCGACATTCTGTACCGCGCATCGACGAAGACCTACCACTCCACGTCCATTCTGCGGTACCTCTTTACCGTGCACTTGGCCGTGGCCGAGTTCGACCTGGCCTTCAAAGCCTTTGACTCGTACCTCGGCCTGATCAAGAAGGGCAAGGCCCGCGTGGCCAAGACCGGCAAGGAGGAGCCAAACCTCGACGACGACGCCGTTGTGTTAGAGACAGTTTCGCTGTGCATCGTGGCACTCTGCCGCTACGGCAATCGGCAGGCATCGGAAAAAGCGCACGGGCTCGGCCAGGAGTTGGAACAGTGCCTACACGAGCTCAGCCATGCCCTTCCCGAGCAGGTCGACGAAGACAACCCGGCGCCGCGGACGACGCTCGTGTCGGATTTTAAGGGCACCAACATCCCGGTCCGTGTTCATGCCCTGGCCTGGCAGGCCGTCGGCCTTTCACTGGCACAGTGGTCACGGACGACATACGACTCGGCCTCGCGCACCGACATCCAGGCGAAAGCTGTCCGGTCCCTCCGCAAGTCCATGTCGCCCGAATTTGGACAGTCGGCGAACCTGCGCAGCGTGTTCTCGCTGAGCTTGCTGCTCGTGGAGCAGCGCGACATTGGCGCAGCCATCGACCTGGTCAAGGCTGCCCTGCTGTCGAACAAGCCGCCTGATGCAGAGCACGAGTACGTGAATGGGCCGTACTGGCGTGAGCGCGCAATGATTCCGCTTTGGCACTTGTTGTCACTTTTGCTCAGTGCCCGTCAGGACTACATCATGGCGGCACGGGCGTGCGAGGGCGCGTTTGAGCAGTTCAAGGACCCGTCGGTGCTGTTTGGCAGCGACGCATTGTACCGCAGCGAGCACCTAAACGAAGCCGAGGCCAACGACGAAAAGAATGCCGGCTGGAGCCGTGGCCTTGTCGACGACATGGAAGACTTTGAAAAAGAGCGGATTCTCGAAGTCAAGATGACGCAACTGGCGCTTGTTGAGCTGCTGGAGAGCCCCAAGGTAGCCGTCAATGCCAGTTTGGAGCTTCTGAGCCTGTTTGCACGGCTGTTTGGGCCGCCGCAGGCCACCAAGGCGACGCTGTCCGTCGCCCCAAGGACGAACAGTGTTCCGAAGAGTTCGGCGGGCACGCTGCGCAGCATCAAAGGTAGCATATTTGGCCGCAGCGGTGAACGTGGCGGCCGGCCGACGACAAAGCACTCTAGCATGATCGGGCTGGATAAGAGCGGTAGTGCAGCCGGTACGCGTCCGCAAACGACACAGACCGTGGCAAGCCGCGACGCACCGACGATCCAGGTGACCAGCAACGATTTTGACGATTTCCGCCGGTCGCGGAAACCGGGAAACTTCAACGAGCGGCGCAGCCAGTCGGGCAAGCGCAACAGCCTCCGCAAGCGGGACAGCAGTGGCAGCCGGCGCCGCGCCGTTAGCAGTGGGGGTGCACCGCCGCGCAGCGCCCTAGAAAACGGCGGCCACGACGGGCTCGTTTCACCGCTAGGCGAGAGCCAAAGTGGCGAGTTCTTCTCAGCCCTTCCAACCCGCCAGCGTGTCTCGTCGGCCGCCAGTGGACCTCCGCCGGTGTCGATGAGCCGACAGGCGTCGCAGGTGGACTCGATCGCGGCGTCGGCTTCACGAGCACGACTTGGCGGTGATGGGGACGGACGCAGCGGTCTGCCAGCCGCGCCAGAGAGCGTCGAGACAGCGCTGTCGCTGACGCCGATCGTCCAGTTCTCCAAGGACGATGAGAAGCGGCGGCGCAACACGGTCCTTGTGGAAGTCTGGCTGATGATTGCGGGCTTCTACCGGCGATCGGAGATGTTGGACGATGCGAAGCGGGCCACAGCCGAGGCTCAGAAGCTTGTCCAGGACCTGGAGATTGACGCGTCGCGGAACCTAACGTCAGGTGCCTCGCTGCGCGACCGCGGCTGGGTTGGCAAGAAAAGCGTCGACGAACTGTGGGCCGATGTGTGGGCTGAGGTACGTTTGCGGCATTGCGGTTTCTGTTTTTTTTTTTTTTTGGCTTTCTTTTATTACTATCGTAATACTAACGAACTCGACAGATGGGCCACTTATCGTTGCACAAGGGCGCCCCATACAATGCGCGCCTCGATTTCGAGGCTGCGCTTACGCACTTCCCGGACCATCCGGCTGCAACCATTGGGCTGTCCAACATTCTGCTCGACATCTACAGCAAAAAGCTCCTTCTGCCGCACGCGATCCCACGACTCGAGCTGGCCGATGGGACTATGTTCCCAGAAAAGCAGCGCCCGGCCGCGCACAGCGACAAGGAACTGCGGCCGACGCTGCCATCTGAACCTCTGGGCCTGTTGACGGCTCCGGCGGCCCAAGACAAGGAGGAGCGCCGGAAGAAGCCGGCCGCCGGCACTGCTACGGCGGCCGAGACCGACGTCGCCTCTGCGGCTCTTGCCAAGTCCGATTCGGAGCTGCCACCGCCGTACAAGGCGTCGACACTGCCTCCGATCGACCGCCTGGCAGCTCGGGACCGAGCATTTGCTCTGCTCTCGGGCCTGACCAAGCTGGGTAGCTCGTGGGACAACTCGGAGGCATGGTTCGCGCTGGCCCGGGCGCACGAGGAAAGCGGACAGCCGGACAAGACCAAGGAGGTGCTGTGGTGGTGCGTGGAGCTGGAGGAGGCGGCGGCTGTGCGGCCTTGGAGCGCTGTGGCGACGAGCGGCTATGTTCTGTGAGGCCGTGCTTGGACGTCCCATAGTACATCACAAGGAGGAAAGGGGAGCGGGAAGACGGACACGGAGTGATCATGGCAATTTAGAGAAAACGGCGAAAGCGCGCACTGCTTAATCTGGATACACAAACATTGTATTGCTTGTTTACAGTGTGATTTTGGACATGGCATATGATAATGCCGCCAATGGCCGTTAGTGGCCGTTGGTATGGTGTAAGAGCACAGTGCAATAATGCGTGAGAAGGCACTGTTGTTCAAAGTGGGTCCGGCTGCACCCAGCGACAAGACACGTCCGCTCTCCCCCAACGGAGCTTGCGGAAGTAGAGCCGCCACCCCTGAAGCCCAGCTTGAAATGCACCTAAAAGTGACAACTGCCAGCCGTTTCCAGCGTTCAACACGCGCCGTTCCCGCGCGTTTACCAGCCTTGGTAGTGAGTCCTACGGTATGGTAATTTTTCGAATTTTTTCGGCGAAGATTGCCCCGACCCCAACGAAACAAAAGAGCGAGAAAGCCCCTAAGCAAAACGCCCCAAACGCCAGCAATTCGCGGCCAGCCCCGAGATAGGACCATCGTGCCAATTGAGGTTTTTACCTTGCACTTGGAGCTGGGACTGCTTTTTCCTCTGTCCGTTCATACTGCGCGCAGCTACTCGCATCGTCCACGACGTCCATTCACGGCCAATCCGCAGTATCAATTCGTATCCGAGAACTAGGCGATCTTAAATACGGCCCGTTTTCAAGCTTCACAACCTCCTCGACTTCGCCTCCAACCCATCTCCTCTTCCGCCGGACATCTCCGGCCACAGATCACGCAAATGGCGAGCTTCGCCGCAGCTGGCCGGCTCTCGCTGAGGCTGGCCGGACGCCGGTGGGCGCAGCCGTCGCGAGGTATGTGATGAACTGACAGCGGTCGCTGGTGGTGATTGATGTTGGGGGGTGAAGACGCCTGCTAACAGACTTACTTTTTTTTACAGGCTTCAACGCGGCAGCGCGTCTGGCTGTGGCACAGAACATGACGATGCCGGCACTGTCCCCGACAATGACGGAGGGCAGCATCGCGGCGTGGCGTGTCAAGGAGGGCGACAAGTACTCGGTGGGCGACGTGCTGCTCGAGATCGAGACAGACAAGGCGACGATGGACGTCGAGGCACAGGACGACGGCATCCTCTTCAAGATTGTGCAGCCCGACGGCAGCAAGGGCGTGCAAGTGGGTACGCGGATTGCCGTGCTGGCCGAGGCCGACGACGACATTGCCATGCTCAACATGCCCGCCGACGAGGCCCCGGCAAAGAGCCAGAACCAGAGTGCGTCGTCAGAGGCCCCGGCGCCCGCGAGACAAGCGGAGGCTGCCGCTCCCGCACCGAAAGCCGAGTCCACGTCGTCCGCCTCGGCAAAGAAGGGCGCTGCCGCGCCCCAGAACCGCCCACTCTACCCGTCCGTCGCATACTTGATTAAGCAAAACGGCCTCGACCCAGCGGCCGTCGTGGGCGACATGACACCCACGGGCCCGGGCGGCCGCCTGCTCAAGGGCGATGTGCTGGCGTACCTGGGCAAGGTGGCGGCGGACGTGCCGTCCGCGCTGGAGTCGCGCTTTGAGCACCTATCGCACCTCGACCTGAGCAACATCAAGATCAAAGAGACGCCCAAGCCCGCGGCACCAGCAGCATCCGACGCGGCCGCGCCCGCCAAAGACGCCGCGCCGGCACCTCCCCGGACGACGTCTGTCTCCCTCCCGGTATCGCTGGCTGCCGTGCTCGACGCCCAGGACAAGATCCAGTCGTCGCTCGGCGTCTTCATGCCCGTGTCCACGTTTGTCTCGCGCGCCACCGAGGTCGCCAACGACGAGCTGCCGCGGACCGGCCCGGCGCCGGCCCCGTCGGCCTCGCAGCTGTTTGACGCGCTCGTGTCGCCCAGAAGCAGCGCCGCCCAACGCCAGTCCGCCGCGTCCAAGGTGTCCCGTGGCCACTTCCGCCCGCAAATCTCGGCGCTCCCCACGACGGCCTCCTCGGCTGCGCCCAAGACAAAGAAGCGTGCCGGCGCGGTCGACGTGCTGGACATTTTGTCCGGCAAGGTCAAGGCCACCACACCGGCCCGCCCTGCTTCGTCCGTCCAGCGCCAGCCGGCGGCCGTATCGACGGGCATCAACTTCTTTACCGTGTCGGTGCCACAGGCCGAAAAGAAGCGGGCCCAGGTCTTCTTGGAGCGGCTCAAGGTTGTCCTGGAGAATGAGCCTGGCCGGCTGGTCCTGTAGGGGAGGTGACACCTATCATTTATTGTTGCCTGTGACTCGTTTTGACCATTTCATTTACTACAATTGTGTCGCTTCCGTCTCCCATACGAACTGTACTTATTATTTTGCGTTTTACTGCGTTTTACATGTAATACAAATACCATAGCTGTCGGAACAACAGTGAGCAAAGAAGCCTTGCATCCATCCACAAGCATGAGTGCCGACTAGGACCGTGCTTTATCTGCACATCGCGAGTTCTGGTTGGCCCGACGGCCGAGCAGACAGCGGGAAGAGTGGTACCAGCGCCGTAAAAGATGTGCCATCACTTCTACAGTATCCGAAGGGGATCCATAATACGACGTATAGTATTCTCAAAGAAAACAAAGTACCATACCCACACATGTACGACATACATCATCTAGATCGGTCGTATTTTTGGGTGGCGCAAAAGACCGGGTCAGGCCGCAAGACTAATGTAAACGAAACAATGCACGTAGACAAACAAAAAAAACAACCGGATGCGACTCAATCATCGATGCGGCTCGCACGGCAATGGTTCTCACGGACTCTGAGCACAGCTTCCCTGACGATCCGCTTGGCAGATTGGCCTGGGCCTTGTGTGAGCCGTGCATTCGTGCATTTGTTCACCGGTGGACTCGTGGACTCGCCCACAATAAACACCTTCCGCAAGGCAGACATCCGATCGGAAGCGGTCCTCGACTCTCGCGTCCCAAGACTATGGTGCAGCATCCGCCCCCACTCTGCCCACCGCCTGTCTTTTAAGACTATGGCTCAATACGCATGCCACGAAGCGACACGAGAGGACGACAACGTAGCACAACCACCCTCTCCGTAGAAGCATCCCCGGGGCTGGGGACAATGCACACCCGTTTGGTCCGGAACTGGAGTGGCTGGCCACCACAGCCTTGTTCTGTGCGTTTGCGTGTGAGGCCAAAATACGACCTTGCCTTTGGGAGACTAAGAGAGGAGAGATGAACAAAGAAATGAACGAATACACGGGATTATTACGGCTGTTTGACGTTGTATTACAAGATCGAGAAAACGGAATAGAGAAAAGGGACAGGCGTGATTCTAGGCGCCTTGGTAGCCAGCCTGCCAGCCTCTGCCTTGCATCTTACACTTGGGTTAAGTGTGATCAAACAAGCACATCAGTGCATATATTGAATTTCGTGCTTCTCGTGCGTCAGGCCGTGCAAGAGACCATTTCCAGCCTAGGCGTCTCAGCTCTGATAACGAAAGAAGCGAAGAACAAATACCGGGAAAATATTGGGGCTTTACAAAAATGGAAGTTGACATACGAGAGACAGGGTGAACACTTTGACCAGCCCAGCCACCCAAGCCAGTTAAAGATCACTCACTTCGTTGCTGCCTCGCTACAGTTTTCAAAGGAAATGGATGGTCGCACAAAGTGACCAACGGGCAAGGATTAGAATTGACGTTTGGGCCCAACTAACTGATCTGTTGTCTGTTGGTTCTCCTAGCCGGGTGAGGAAAAGACTGTATTTTGCCTGTGCCCGTCCAACGAGCTTGTTTTCCTTCTTCTCAGCCTGTTTGATCACAAACCGTCTTTTTTGCTACCCATCTATCTCGCTTACCGCGTCCCCCCCCCCTCTTGGGATAATCACCTCCAGGACAGTTAAGGATCGCCCTGTCATCTTTGGTAAACGACTTCAGCAAGCCGATGAAGGCTCATGTATCATCACAAGTCGCATTCCGAATTGGTTTGTTATCGAGACACAGTATACGGTGGTTTCTCGACATTGTTCTGCTCCTCCATAATAGCTCTTTACTTTGAATATGGCTTTCACATCACCTCTTTTAAACCCGGCCATCTCAAGACTTCCATCGTCACGATTTGGTGGGAAGTGTAAATGTAACTACATAAGACAACAGAAATGGCCCTTCCCAGTCCCAACAATCCACCACGACAGAGTCTCTTGTCAGTGCCTGTAAACTGTACTTTGGCGTTCCAACAAACGGGCCGGTACTCGAACAAAAGGCCAGTGAGTGGAAGTCGAGGACGAGTGAGGAAAAAACAAATGCCCCAAACACATAGAAAGTCACGAATTGCACACAATAATCCGTTTGTCGATGCAGCCTCCATCCAGGCCGTCTGCGGGCCATCTGCAGGCGCCCAGCCAATCCCCATCCCACCACGAAAAGGAAAGATGTGCATGCTCTCAGTTTGGACAAACAAGTGAGGGAAGCAGAAGAATACGAAGGAAGGAAACTAATGCCGACACTCTCGGAGCACTCTTATTCTGTTGGAACGCTATTGCGTCCAACATCCTGGCCCTACCCCCCTTCTCTCTTTCTGTCTTATATTCTATTGGGCCCGTCAGAACACTCGACCTGTTGCAATGAGCACACTCCAGCTTTGGCGCCCGGCCGAGTTGTTTGGATCCTGTTGCCGCTCTATTCATCTCTCGCCGAAGAAAAAGAAAAGAAATAGAGGGGGAAGTCAATAGACGGTCGCAGAACAAAGACTGCCGACGAATGCCTTCCATGGAAGACGAAAGGGTGAATAGAAAAGGGAACGCGCACGCGTAAGCGAGATATGTTGCAAGGTTGGTCAGGAGAAGCGAATAGTATGAAAAAAAAGAAAGGGTACAGCCAGCTCAAGTGTCCGCTCGTAAGGCTCTTCTTTTCCCCTTGAGCGTTTGTCTTGTTATTTTGTTGGCCCTTTGTGCTCTGTACTGGGAAGCTTTACATCCTTGGAGTGAGCAAAGAGAAGAGAGAGCTCCCATCGTTGCCCTTTCCTCGTTGCTCTCCTTCTCGTTCTGTTCTTTTCTCATCACTCTCGTCACTCTCGTCACATTTATGTTTTCATTCCTCCATTTCTTATTTGCATTCTATTTTTCTTTCTTTCTCTAATTTGTCGTTTCTCAATCACACACGGTCTTTCTCTCAACTCTTTTCTCGTCCTCCCCTCCAGCTCCCCTCCTTGCCTTCTGCATCCCCTCCTTCGGCCACCATCCCCTTTCATTTCTTCCGCTGCACAACGATTTCACCCATTCCGCCGACGCAAAGCGACTCGTACAGAGAGCCTTGCACACCATTTTCACCTCCGTCGTTCTGTCTCTGTCTCATTGTCTCACCATGCCTCGGTTCGCCCACCTCTTTTCTCCCGTTTGATCCCTTCCAATTTTACCCACTCATTTGTTTTCATCATCTTCTCAAAGGGGCTCACGGGCCTTCCAAGGCCTTTTTGTTTCTTGCCTCTACGTACACAATGAGCCGCCAAAAGGTCCCAGACGACAAGCGCCAGCGCACGGCGCAAGCGTGTGACTACTGCAAACGACGCAAGCAAAAGGTATGCAAGGTCAAGGTCAAGCTTCATGGTGTACTGTATCCAAGATCTGTCTCGGAGGATTTTCTTTTCGTTTGGCTGTCGTGCCTGTCATCCTCCCCATCCACGGCCAGCCCAGCTCAGTCCATGGCTGGGACAGTGTCTGTAGGACAAGCGGCAGTGCAACGATCGTTTCCCTGATGCTTCTTCTTCCCCGTGCCCTGTTTTCCTTTTCGTCATGTTCTTGTGTTTTGCCCTGCCCGTGGCTGTGTCGTGGAACTCGTTGCCCTTGCCCACCAACATCGGTCGTGCCATTTCACTGGGATCGAGCGCGATTGTTTGCTGCCGAACTTGTTTCTCCGTATATACCATGCTGTCTCTCCTCCTCCTCCCCACGACCTGTCATTAACTATGATCCATCCATTTTTAGTGCAATGGCACAAAGCCATGCTCGACCTGCGTCAAAAAGAGGGTCAACTGTACCTATGCCACTGGGGCGAGCCAAGGTTCCGGCAATGCAGCCGGCACCGGACCCGGCACTGGCTTGTCCATGTCCTCCAGCCGGCCCTCCACGGACGACGCCTATGACGGTTCCGCTGCCTCTTCCTCAGCCTCGCCACCCAAGCGCCGCCACATCGAGGCGCCGTCCTCCGTTTCGACCGGCACGCACAGCCTGCGTCAGCATCAGAATCGCCAGCACCACCGCCTCGACTATCACAGCAACAACAACCGCACTGGCAACACCATTCCGCCTGCATCGTCCATGACACAGACCAACGTCGAGGTCGAGGCAAAGGCGCGGCTCAAGCTGAAAACAGTGCCACACCCGTCGTCGGCATCTCGGTCATGGGGCGGTGGACGGAAACAGAAAGTCGCCATCGAGCTGGAGACGTCGTTTCTGCAGAACCATGGACTGTTAGGGCCGGTCCAGGAGAGCAGGCGTCCGTCGGCGGATGGTGGGCTGGAGGAGCACACGCGGGCTAGTTCGTCGAGCGGCCATGAGGAGGAAGCGATTTTGCTCCAAACGACGCGAATGCTGCAAGATCAAAAAGGGCGCCTCTGTGAGTTCCTTCCTTTTCTTTCCTTGGCCGTGCCCTTCGTTCTTTCCTACAGCGGACGTTCATCAGTTTTCCCATGCTCCTTCCTCTTCCAAGTTTTCCTGTTTTCCTGCTGCTCTTTGGTCGTTCCTTCCCCATTGTACTGACCATCGTAGTGTACATTGGTGATTCGGCCACTCTCTCCTTCCTCCACCTCTTCCGTCTTATGGTCGAGAGCATCAGCGGCCAGTCCAACTTCACTCTCGACCCCAGAAAGGAGTCTATCGTCGAAAATGTCGTGTCTCTACCGCCGTACGTCCGTCCGCCCTGCATGCTGCCCGACCGACACACGGCCGACTTGCTCGTCGAGTCCTTCTTTGTCAACACCGGCGCCATAATCGAAGTCTTTGACCGGCGCGAGTTTCTCGCTGAGCTCGAGCGCTGCTATGCCAATCCACTGATAGCGAGCACGCCTTTTTTGTGTCTGTTGTTCCTAGCATTTTCAATTGGCCTTGCCATGGCCGCGTCTAATGCGGACACCGTCGACGCGTCCGCCCTGCGTCAGTTGGTGGAACTGCCCTACGACCAGGCCGAGCTCTTCTTCCGCACTGCCAAAGTCATGGACGACCCACTCAACGGCGTCGAGGATGCCGAGTTGTGGTCCGTCCAAGCTCAGCTACTCATGGCCGTCTACATGCTAGCCGTTTCCAAGCGCAACGCCGCCTTTACGTACCACGGCATCGCTGTACGCTCGGCCATTGCACTCGGCTTGCACCGCGAGGAGACCATGGTCAATTTCTCCACGTCCGAGGTTCTCTTGCGCTGCAACATCTGGAGGAGTCTATACGTCCTGGACCGCTTCATTGCCGCCTCGCTCGGTCGCCCGCCCGCCATTAGCGACAATGACTGCACCGACGTTGCCTTCAAAGATACCATGATGCTCCCGCACATTGCACCCATTGGTCCGATGCAACAACCGAGTACAATGGGACAAGGGACCATGAGTGCCGGCGGTCCTGGTCCGGCTCCTCCATCCTCGTCCTCTTCCTCCTCCAACCATGCAGTTATGACTGGCCGGTGCTCTAAGCCGATGAACAACTTTGGCTTCGATGCCTCTGTACGCAGCTGCCGAATTATTGGCATCATACTCAAGAAGATGTATGTGCGCCGCCGTGTCTCCTCGCGCGCCACAGCCGATATCGTCCGCCAATGCAGCGTCTGGGCCAAGGAGATGACGGAGAATCTACGCTGGCAGCGCACCGTTGAGGCTGCCGCAGCACTCGACGCTGGCAAAATCATGCGCATGCCTCAAGCAGAGAGCATTGCCATCCTGCGCACCAACCTCTTTTACTGCCATGCTGTTATCTTATTGACGCGCCCCTTCTTCCTCTTCCTGATCCAAGCCGATCGCCGCAACCATGCCAGCCCCGGCAGCCTTGGCAACTTTTTCGGCGCACTCAACAAATCCGGCAGTCACAGTAGTATCGGCCGGATCAATGGCACCAGCCGACCCGCTGGCTATGGCAGCTCCGGACGATTCTCGCCTCCCTTACGCACCCGCACTGAGCGGTTTGCCGAGAACTGTGTCACCGCATCCTACCACACCATTGCCATGGTCGGCCAAGCTCTCACTACGAAGTACCTCCCTCAGCGAGATCCTTTTATCATGTAAGTGTGAACGTCCGTTTTGTTTTGAAAAGTTTTCGTCACCTTCGTGTTTATTTCTTCTCACTCCAAACAAGGCACTTTCTGTTCACGGCAACACTGCTCATCATGGCCAACGAGTTCATTGCCATGTTCCACAATACCACGTACGACGAACACATCGACCTCGCCTTGCGTGTCATGACGTTCTTCTCTACTAGTGACCCCCAGGCACAACGTCTCGCGTGGATTCTGGATGCCCTTCGGGAAGCCGTAGACAAGCACGCAGCAAAACCCAACACCGCCGATACCTCCAATAACGACTCGACAAACAGCGACCAGAAAAAACATGCCCGTGACAAGAACCGCACGTTTCGTTTCGAGTTCCCAAGAGACTTTATTCCTGGGACGACGGATCCCATTGACACATTCTTTGTCTTGCAGCCTGCGCATGCAGCGGCTGGCGGAGGGGCAGTCCCATTCAGGGGCGGGCAGGGCGGCAGGACTCTTCAGGTGCCAAGCAGTCAGCTGGCGCAACCTCCTGCAGAGGCAGGAACTGGAGCAGGATCGTCTCAACTTATGGCTCCATCGGCAGACTATATCCACGTAGATACGGGCTTCGCCGGGCAAAGTCAAGGCAGCATCGAACAACACCAGCAACCAGGTCTCCTGGACTTACAAAATGTGGGTATGCCGACTTCAATGTCGGCCACGTCTGCGGGCTCTGCTCAACAGCGTGGTGTTCTCTACGGCGGAGAAAGCAACGAAGGTGCATCGACTGCAAATCCCCTCCTCCTTCCGCCTCCATTCGCCATGCCAGCGGCAGTACCACCGTCTGACTTTTCGCCTCAGTATCACACACAGCCGCAGCATCAACACAGTACGAGTACACAGCATCCACAACAACCCCAACACCAGCAACAGCATTCCGTGAATATAGCTGGTGGCACGGGAGGTGGAGGGCTCGGGCCGGATGCTTTCCAGTCTAAGGATAGCAAAGCAGCCAATGGAGACCTCGACGGCACCGACTCGATCGAGACGGATGGCGAAGGGTTCGATTTTGACATTCTCTGGAACTGGTCTAACCCGGTGGGCCAAGTCGCTGCCGACGGGACAACTGACGCTACAGTTGGGATGACCAGTGTCGGCTTGAACCTCACGGAGCTTGGGAGTGGAGCTGTTCCGAGCACAATGAACTTTGTGCGGACGGCACAGCAACAAGGTGATGGCACTGTTCTGTCGGCATATGGGGACACGACGCGAGGTCGGGATGGGGAGGAACCGGTGCAGGGGGGTAGTGACATAGACATGAACCATGCACCGGCGGCCACACAAAATGCACCGATGCCGCTCCCGCCCATGTACTCGCCCTACGGCATGGCACCGTTGTCCAGCACTGTTGGCAGTGCAGGGCTTGGGATGTCTGGAGTGCATGGCCACGGTAACCTGGCCGCGTCCCTAAATGTACCACTCTATACGACGACAGATTTCGGATAGGTTGCTGATGTCTCCGCTGTTGATGCATTTTCTATTGACGACGTTATGATCTTTCACTTTCACCATTTTTGCTTTCATATTTACCTACATGCTGTCCTCGGACGGCAATTGGCGCCAGCTTATTCTTTATATTATATGGTATATCATACTGCATTACTGGCCAACACAATACAAGTTCCGATGGACAGACATTGGTGGTTGAACTGTGAGTATGAAAGAACGTGGCATTAGAAATTGGTAAAGAGAAGAAACCGCCCGCTATGTAGTATACAACTGGTTTTGCGTTTTGCAGGAAAGTGAGCCGATCCAATATGCAAACGTCACAACACCACTCAGTAATACAATCCCAGCAACTCCGACGCCGACATCATAAACCCAAGAAACAATCAAAACTAAATCGAAACCAAATCGTAAGGACTACCATGTCGCCGGCCCAAAGGTCTGCCCAGGTGGTAGGACCACCTGAATCGCCGTGTCCTGGAAATCCATGGTGCTGGCGACAATGTTGTTGCCCCACCAGGAGGGCGGATCAATGTTGTTGAGCGTAAAGGCAAAAAAGATGACGAGCGTGCTCAGGGCCAACCCGAGATCCAGACCGGACGATGTCAGGTAGTTCAGGCGACTCCACCAGGAAAAGTGGCGCTTGCGCACCCAATACTGGAAGACGAAGCCGACGACGCCCCAGCTCAGGTAGTTGAGCGGGGAGGCGGGCGGGATGGCGCCGGAGCCGCCAAAGATGAGCGGGGCCATGAGGAACTTGAGGGGCGACTTGGGCCAGCGACGGGCGGCAAAGTAAATGATGACGGGGACGATGGCGCCGATGCCGAAAAAGACAAAGAGGCTCGAGTAGATCTGGCCCGGCGAGAACATGCGGGCCGGGCCGAGCAGGCCCCAAATGACGGAGGCGGAAAAAAAGACGCGCCCGCCGGGGCAGGAGAAGTGCTCGGGTTGGTCGCGTTCGCAGATGCCGTCAATGTTGCCGAGGGCAAAGTTGAGGACGGCAATCTGAATGAAGCAGGCAAAGGTGGACGCGACGACCTGGGCCATGAACATGGTGCGTGGCGGGATCTTCATGTAGTGGCCAAACTTGAGGTCGCCGACAAAGCTCAGGGCCTGGGCCATGGTGATGTACCCGTACGTCTTGAAGAGCATTAGAGCCAGCGGGCGGCCCGGCTGGATGTAGCCAAAGACAAACTCGGTCAGCACGTTGAGGCCGATCTGGTTGTTGGTGACGGCCTGGATGATGCCAATCGGCAGCGAGAAGGCAAAGGCGATGAAGACGGCCAGCAAAAACGCCCACCAGGCCAGATTGGTCGGGTAGGCCAGGATCGTGACGAAGCCGAGTGCCAGCGTGACGGCAAACAGCACCATGTACCACCAGCCCGGGGCCTCCTTGTACTTGCGCATCAGCTTCATGTGGATGTCGGGCTTCTCGGTGGTGCTGTTGCGGTACTGCTGCCAGATGGTGCGGCTGTGGTGCAGGTACGTGTAGACAATGAGCGAGGTGATGGCGGCAAACGAGAGGCCGTAGGACATGGCAAAGGTGGTGCTCAGAAACAGCGGCGAGTACGCTTTGTAGGCGGCCTCGTCCAGCGTGAACTGGGGCGTCAACACGCGCGACACGTTGTACGGCACCCCCGTGTTGTCGTACGTTCCCGAGTCGCTCATGGGCAAGAAGAAGCCGTACCACGTGTTGGTGTAGTGCAGAATCGACGTGGTAAGGATGAAAAAGGCCACGACGCCGATCAGCGTGTTGGCGATGGCGTGCCACGGCGGAATCAAGGGCGAGCCGACAAAGCCGGCAATCTGCGTCCAGTCGAGGGTCAGGGGCAGCAGCGACAGCCCCGTGGATCCGCCAAAGAGCTGGTTGACAATGGGGCTGTTGGGCGCGAGGAACGTCGGGATGGCCAGCACGCTGAGGAACTGGGCGAGGTAGCCCGGGATGAAATAGTACAGGCACGCGCCGAGCGTCACGTAGGCAAACCAGCGGTAGCGCGGCATGCGGCCGCCGATGATCGTGGGGTCCGGCCGGGGCGCGGCCTCGTACATGGCGTTCATCAGCGTGACCGAAACAAGATTGCCTGGCCAGATCATGGCGGCCGGGTAGACCAAGAAGCGGCGCATCATGCCGGCGATGCCGTAGCCGATGGACTGCGAGGACACGACCATGAGCAGCTGGAAAACGATGCCAAAGTCCTGCTTGTAGAAGACGAGCTGGGCCAGGACAATGTCCGTGGCGTAGGCGACGGTGAAGGACACGCCGGCCATGACGACAATAATGGAGTGCTCCTTGACATTGAAGGGCCCCGGGTTGAGGGACCAGCGCAGGCCGAACGTGTTGAAGCGGCGGCGTGGCATGACGCGGGCCCAGGCGTGGCCCATGGGCCAGGCAATGATCTGGGCCACGAGGGTGCCGATGCTGATGGACGGCTGGCGCAGGGAGAAGAGCGTGTTCATGGAGGCGCCAACCACAACTAGCGTCAGGCCGATGACCCAAGCGCGCACGGTATTGCAGGGCAGGTCCTCGTCGTAGTTGCGGACGGCGGCACGCACCTCGGGATAGGGCGAGTCCTCGACCTCTTCGTCGTCGTCGTCGTCGTCGTCTTCGACAAGGCTGCTTCCGCTGCCGCTGCCACTGGCGCCGTTGGCTGTGGTCTTGGACTTAGCCTTCGTCTTCGTCCGCTTTCCCTTACCTTTGGACACGAGGGTGTCGTTGTCGTCGAAGCTGGCCGAGTCGCGCTCGGGATCGCGGAAGGACGGGATGTACTCTTCCGGCAGGTTTGGATCTAAGAGAAGTTCGTATTCTTGTTCTTCGTGTGCACCTCCAAGGTCCTCATCGTCGTCTGGGGAATAGTACAAGGCCTCTCGCGCCTTGGTAGCAGCAGACTCACCCCACATGGAGAGACGGTGCTTCAGGTCGTCAACAGGGCTCAACTTTTTGATTTCGTCGTCCGTTTCCTGCTTGTGGAAAGAGGACGTTGACGAGGAAGAGCCCTTAGAGCCTGCCGTCTCTCGACCGCTCGATGCTTGTGCGTTGGTGCCATTGTTTGTGTCATTGCTGTTGTTATTTACCACGTTGCCTGCCGGCGTGCCAGACGCCTTTTCCGTGACAGAGATCAGATCATCGGCCATGCTGATAATGGCGCCGGTGACTGTGCCGGTAGTCTCGGTAGTCTCGGTGGTGAGTGGCAGGCAAAACAATCAGCAACAGAGCAACGTCGCTAACAACAACGCAACAAGCATGGAGGGTCCTATATATGTGGGTGGTCGCTTGTGAGTGCACTTTGTGAGTGCGGATTCTGTGCCAATCGCTCTCTCTCTCTCTCTCTCTCTACAACTTGCCTCCTGTTGGGCAGGCTAAAGCACAAGAGCGTCGATCACCCAAATGCATATGAAGCAGCACCGTAGTCGAGGATACACTGTCCAATGCACAAGATGGAAAGTAGACAATGTAGTGGACGGGACCGTTTGGCAGCTCCGAGATAAGGCACTGTATGCAGATTCGTTCCGGCCTCCTCTTTGGGCAAGACTCAAGGCTCAAGGTTCAAACTCAAAACGGATGTGAAAACGCCACACGATATGCGGGAAAACACAAATCGACCAAGATGGGGGACACGACAAGGGTCCAAGAAACGATCTCGTGAGCCTGATAAGTGCAATGCGAGAGACTGGTGGGAGATGGACGACGAGAAGGAAAGACGAAACACGGAGGACGGAACAAAGACGTGGTCGCTTTGCGAATGAGCTTGATTGTTGGGTGTCGAGATGCGATCGAGCATAAACCCGGAGATGGACGGCTGGGGGGCAAGCAGTCGACAGAGTGATAAGAGAACGTCGTCAGACGAGAATCAATGGACAGACTCAGGCAAAGCCAACCAGACAGCCGGTAAATGGCAAATCGGCAGGTCAGGGGTAGGCCGATAAGGTGGATGGTGTTCCACAAGATGGGATGTTCTGGATATAGGTATGCGGGTTGGCAATTGTAAAATTGTGTGATTCTGGCAGCTAGGTGAGTGTGAGGACATTGAATGTCGTTCTGCTCGCGTGCTGCTGTCGTGTCCCAGGGGCTCGGCAGATGTACCTTTGATGAAACAAAGCTGCGGCGGAGCCAACCGTGGAGCAACGACGAAGTAGAGGGGAGAAGGGAAGTGAAAATAAAAACAAAACGGCTCTTTTCTAGAAAGAGTGGAGGGTGTTCTTGCTGCCCACAAAGTGATATTCCCAAGTCTCCGCTGATATGCACGACGAAAGATGGCGACGGAGTGATGAGCGTGAGGGAAGAGGATGAATGAGATATGAGAGTGAGAGGTGCACAGATGTAGAATGAAAGACGGCTGCAAGCTTTCCTGAGATGAGGCGACCAAGCGGCACCAAGGGATGGGCTAGGCGTCACCGGAAGCGGCAAAGGAGAGCTGGAGTTCCTTAGTCTTGGAGACGGATGATGGCTGTATCGAGCGACAAACGACGAGCGCTCCTCACCAAGCCAAGATTTCTGCAGAGAGACCTGCTATGTTTTGCGTTTCGAGAGATGCTGTGCCGATCTGGCCTGCTCTTGGGGCGCAGGTCTCTGGTAAGATCGTATGGCATACCGGACGACAGAAAAGAGGCAGAACAGCAGTACTGGCTGTGGATGGCCGTCGTATGTTGGCCAATGCTGCTTCGTCGACGAGTTGGTGATGTTCTCAGCCGCGGCGGCGAAAGCTGTCCGTTCCAGATGCTCAATAGAGCCTAATCCGTTCAGATCAGGGGTCTCCATCACTCGCGCCTTCCTTCGTGGAGGGTGTCCTGGTGTGTCGTAGAGGGCAGTTACACACTAGTGTGCCTGGGGCTTAGTGCACCTGCTCTTTCCAAACGCGATACCAGTGCGACACCAGTGCCGGCAGAGCAACACGACACTGTACGGGCACTGTATTACGTCGCCCCATTGGGGTGACCATCTGCTCGGCCTGCAATGCACCAATGACGCCCATGCGCCTCGGTATGATTCGAACTAACACGACAAAAGGTCGCGACCGTTCGGCTAAGAGCACCTCAGCGTGTTGGCAGCACGAGGCAGTCTTTTCCAGCTCTTGCCAGAAGCAAAAGCAGCAGCCGGAAACGAAAGACACCAGAACGAAGTGTTTGTTGGGTGTGGTTTTCTATCTTCTTTTTTTCTTTTCTTTTTCCTTTTCCTTTATTATACTGTCTTTGTTTCCTGCGGGTCCCCGTCCCCGGCATCACTTTGTCTTGCCAGCCTCGCCGACATGCTCAGGCGGGTCGTGGTAACGGGCCTCGGCGCCGTTACGCCGCTGGGCGTGGGGGCGCGCTTTGCATGGAAACGGCTGGTGGCAGGCGAGTCGGGTATTACCAGCGTCGCCGACCGCGCGCCCATTGAGCAGTGGGAGCGTCTGCCGAGCACCATAGCGGGCGCCGTGCCCGACGGCAAGAGCAGGTCGCGTGGCCAGTGGAATCCGGACGACTGGGTCGACGTGGCCGAGCAGCGCCGCATGTCGCGCTTTACGCAGTTTGCCATGGCCGCGACGGACATGGCGCTGGCCCAGGCACAATGGCCAGGTCCAGAGGCCGTGGCAGCGGCGGCAAGGAAGGATGCGGCCGCCCGCACCGAGTATGCGCCCGACGACAGCCCCGAGGCGCGCACGGGCGTGTGCATCGGCAGCGGCATCGGCAATCTTGAGGCCATCTACGAGACCAGCCTGGATCTGCACCACAGCGGCTACAAGCGCGTGTCGCCGCTCTTTGTGCCGCGCATCCTCATCAACATGGCCGCCGGCCACGTCGCCATGCGCCACAACTTCCAGGGCCCCAACCACTCCGCGTCGACCGCCTGCACCACGGGCGCCCACGCCATTGGCGACGCCGCACGCTTTATTGCCCTCGGCGACGCCGACGTCATGGTCGCCGGCGGCGCCGAGGCCTGCATCCACCCGCTGACCTTTGCTGGGTTTGGCCGGTCACGATCCCTGGCCGACCCCGTCTCGGACGACCCCACAAAGTGTTCGCGGCCGTTTGACCGCGAGCGGTCCGGCTTTGTCGTGGCGGAGGGTGCTGCTGTTTTGCTACTGGAAGAGCTCGAGCACGCACTGGCGCGAGGCGCGCCCATCCTGGCCGAGCTGCGTGGCTACGGCTGCAGCGGTGACGCGTTTCACATGACGGCACCACACCCCCAAGGCGTGGGTGCACAGCGGGCGATGCGTGCGGCGCTCAAGAACGCCGGACTGCGGCCGCGCGACGTCGACTACATCAATGCACATGCCACCGGCACGGTGATTGGCGACCGTGCCGAGGCGGCAGCGATCCGCACGCTGATGGCCGACGACGACGTGACAAACGAGTCGGCCATTACCGTCAGCAGCACAAAAGGCGCTGTGGGCCATTTATTGGGCGCAGCTGGCGCCCTCGAGGCCCTCTTCACCGTCCTCGCCATTACCGATGTTCGTACTTGGTGCCGGCTACAAACTGCAAACTGGTGTCTATGTGTCTCTCTCGCTAACTTGTGTAGAACCTTGTCCCACCAACACTCAACCTCACCACCCCCGACGTGGGCCCCAACTTCAACTTTGTGCGCGAAAAGGGCCAAGAAAAGAAGGTCGACGTCGCCCTCACCAACAGCTTTGGCTTTGGCGGAACTAATGCCAGTTTGGTGTTTTCCACGTTCAAATGATGCCGAGAAGAAAGAAACAGAAAGAAAACAACAGCCAAAATGTACATATGAAACACAACGTAGACTGTAAACAGAAAACAAGACCCAAACATTGTAAAGAAGCGGTAGGTCATACGGGAGCTTGACAGCGAATGTTGTGACGAGAGAAATTTGGTATTTGTTTGCGTTTGTTTACTTTTGTTTTACTATTATCCTTGGAAGGGTATCATGAAACACGGGCCACCACTGACAGCCTACTTCAAAAGGTCGCTGATGCCCACCTCGTCCTTGCGCCGCCGCACCTCCTCGAGAGCGCCTGCCGGGTCCGTCTCCTCCGGGTTGCGCAGCTGCCAGGCCATGCAAATGTCCATGGCGGCCGTCATCCACTTGCCCGGCTTGATCCCCAGCGCCGCGGCTACCTGCTTGCCGTCCAGCAAGCGCTTAATGTGCGGCGCGTCGAGCACGTCGAGTGTCTCGAGGTGGTCCAGAAACGCCTGCCAGTCCTGCATGAGGCTGTCGAGCTGGGCTTGGCTGGGCGCGGCGTCCTTGGACGCAGTCGTCTGTGCGAGCAGCAACACCTCCCACAGCAGAGCGTACAGCACCTGCAGGCGCCAGTTGCTGCCCCGGGCCTCCCAGCTGCGGATGGCCATGCCGAACCGGTCGCGCTCGTGGATCTCCGGCGCCTTGCGGTCCAGAACAAACTGCTTGAGCGCCAGGACTTCGTCGCGGTGGTGGTAGCCGCCTTGCACAACGTCGCTCAGCTTGTTGGGGGCGCGGATGCCTTCCCGTAAAGCAAGCACAACGGGCGGCGGCGGGGGCTTGCTAGGGAGGTTGCCGGCGTTGGCCTTGTTCTTGACCTTTCCATTCGTTGGTGGTGGTGCTGGAGGAGGCGGAGAAGGAGTGGGGGGCGGTGCAACCTGACCCCATGGCACGGCGGCAGCCAGGACCCAGGCAAAATACTTTGCTTCCTCGGTGTGCACGAGCACGTCGTAGATCGATCCTGGTGTCTTGGTTTCGGCCAGGGCGTGCAGGCACTCGTAGACAGCCCCCCAGCCCGTAAGATTGGGCCGGTCTGGCTCGGTGGGTTCTGGTGTTGCCGCTGGTGTTGTCGTGGCGGCCCCGCTCGCGTCTGTCCCGGCCACCAGGTTGGTGAAGATGGCGTGGTACAGCCCCAGCCGATCAATCAGGGCCAGAGCGTCGCGCGGATGTTGGCCTTTGAGCATCTTTTCCACCTCAATGCCCACACGCTCACGACTGATCTTGAGCCGCAGCGCGTCAAGCACGCGCGGGTCCGCCATGACGGCTTCGACGGCAGGGTCAATGGTAAACTGCAGGCGGCTCGCGAAGCGCACGAGCCGCAGCACGCGCAGCGGGTCGTCGGTAAACGTCTGCAGCGGCTCGAGCGGCGTCTGGATACGCTTAGCCGCCATGTCCGCCAGGCCACCCGTGAAGTCTTCCACCAGGCCCGTGGACAGGTTGTAAAAGAGGGCATTCACCGTGGCGTCGCGGCGCAGTGCATCCTCCTCGGCTGTGCCAAACTCCATCTGCGGGTTGCGGCTGTCGGCGGCATATGTCTCCTTGCGCAGGTTGACAAAATCAATGTCCATGCCGAAAATCCGCACGGTGGCCGTCTCGAGGTGCTTGGACTTGTCCGGGTTGGCCTCGACCTTGTGGACGCTCCCGAGGTCGCTGGCGGCCATGCGGTGGCGCTCGATATTGCCGGGGTCAGCGCAAAAGGCCTGCATCTGGTGTGCAAAGGCGTAGCCGGTCATGGAGTTGATGGCCGTGTCGATGTCGTTGCTGGCCTGGCCCAACAGCTTGTCGCGGACCCAGCCGCCGGCCCAGCGCAGGACGATTGGTTCTCGAGATTGTTGCTCGCTGAGATTTTCATTCTTGTTGACAAAGGCAGCCACATCGAGCAGCAAGTTCTTGAGCCGCAGCTCCTGGTCGGTCAGCCGGAGCGTGGTGGTCGCTGGTGTCGCCATGGCTCTGGTGCGATGCCTCCGCTTCTTGGCGATGGTGTCGCTTGGGAACGGAGAAGCACAGTATTCCGCTGCTTGATTGTCGTCGTTGTCGGCCAGCTTTCTCTTCATAGGGCTGGCCGAGAACAAAAGAAATCGGGACGCAAGATGCCGCGGTCGACGAGGAAAAGGAAAAGTTTCCGCCACTGCAATTGGTCTCCTCCCGCGCAGAGTCGGACACAGGTTAAGTCGACACGCAGACCATAGCATGAGTCAATCGAGCTAGGGTGTATTGTAGCCTGGGTATTGTCGTGGCTGTGTCGTTTGCTGTTTATCGTTTGTCGATTTGTCTGCGGGATCGTTATTGGATTGGCTGGCAGAAGCCATTTTGGAACTATCAACTTTTTTATGACTCCAAACTGCCCTAATGTTGGCGCCAACCCCGCTATACTGCTTGCTTTCGACGTGTTTTAGGGCCTGCACGTGACAATTACTGGGACCAGCCGTACGTGGGCCGTTTCAGCCTTGTTCAGCCTTGTGGGGAAGGCAGTCAAACTGTTTACAGAAGCTGTAAATACCTTCGCCGTCTCCTCATTCTTATTTCCTATTCTTGTCTTTGATGATGTTTATACTTTGACATATTTACATAACAAAGCCTTCCACTTTATTAAAAGGCAGACTAGCTATCACTTGCTTATTTCCTGTCGAGAGTTTCTACTTTTGTTTTGTCGCCATTAACACTCATACGGCTATTTTCTAGATGCCACTATTTAGCTGTCCTTCGTTGCGAGTCCACGTTGTCAAACAATGTAACAGATTGGAAAGCAACGGCCCGTCACTGCTTCTGTTTTCGTGGTCTCTGGTTTCTAGTCCTTTTTTCCTTTTTTCAAGATTTATCTCAAAGTGATACACATAACGTCTTCGTATTGTAGGATTTCATATCCGATGGATGAGTGCATCAAGGTCCGCCGAGAGAGAACCGGCGTGGGGGCACTGCGGCGTGTCCGTCATTTAGAGTCCTATTGCGTACACTGGCCTTTTTCGAAGAGCTTTAACAGCCTACTTCTATGCACAAAACTCGGTGTCCAAGTAGCAACTCGAAGGGTCGCCCAACAGTTGACAATGCCGGGGAATCGGGCGGTAAAGCCACGTCTGCCAAGCCAGGTATCGGAACAATTGAGAACACGCTGGGGCATGACGGGGCCTTATTGGGGTCAGGCGAATGCACCTGTCCCATGTGATTGTTCGTATTCATGGTGGCCGGCGGATGCTTTGCAGAGTCAAAGTAGGTGGGCAAGGTGCGACGAGTGCGGATGCCTAGAATGCAGGTGTGGTTGCCGATGGCGGCTGTCACCGCTGTTAGCCGTCCACATCTTTGCTCTTTGTTCTTGTCGCAATACAGAATAGTGGGAGGCTGTGTAACCCATAGAGCAGCAACGACGTAACTGCGCAATGCAGCCAAGCAACTGCACCCCGCTATTGGTAGTAGTATATTCGAAGCAAAACGCAGGTGAGTAAGTTGCAGTCATGGTTGCTTGGTACTTTTCCATTGGATATGCGGCATATTATTTTGGATATTATATATGATTTATTTGATTTTCTACAAATTTTTATTGACATAAATATTTATTAGTTATTTACTATTATTATTGTTTTGTTGATTCCATTTCCCTTGGACTTTGCAGAAATTCTGGATTTCGTTTCGAGGTTTATTTCGACAGGAATTGGACAGCTTCACGAAAGTATGAGCGAAATAGCATGAAAAAAAAAAGCCAAATGAAACCTCATCGCCAGATCGAGAATTCAAGACCAGCCTGCCAAATGAGCTGGGCGGCCTCTTTGATCCACCATTGCTCAGCGTGTTGCCCGGTGGTCGACGATCTTCCTTCATACACTCTCACATTTCTGCTGCAGTCTAATGCTTCGGTTTTGTCATTCATACCAGCACAGCCCCCGAGACCTCTCACCCAAACCGTAGGCCGCCATTCGCTGATGGTCGCAGTTCAAGTCTGTACAGCTTCGGCACCTCCACATGAAGTAGAATGTCTATGTATATTGTGAATCCTCCATGCTATTCGCAACACGTCAACTTTGTCAGATCCTGAAAGATAGTTCTGAGCCTGGCTCGTGCACCCCTCGTAAGGAGCATTAAAATACAAAGCTAAAATAAAAGAGTAGCTTTGTTGCACGGCATTTAATTCCCTCTGCAGTGCACAGGTACCGTTTTCGTGTCATGGAGGCGAAATGACGAATCATCTCGGCAGCCAAGCATTGCGCCCAGCAACGGCGTTCTTGTCAATTTTGTCCCCCGCCCGCTCTGCCATCGATCTCGGATCACCATAGACATCATCCGCAGGAGATGAGTCGAGTCTGGTCACGCATTTGAGAACAAAATGCAAAAAAAAAATTGGCTGGCATAAATCACACGGCTCGACGCCTGGGCGAAAGTCCAGAGACAAGTATTGATGACAAATGATGACTTCGCCTCTAAGGCTTTTGGCATGTCTTACTTATCTTTTGTTTCAGGAATTTGAAGAAATGGACTATGTCTCGAGTAACATCCAGCGGTGATGACCGTTTCCCCCCCTTTGCCCTCACATTTTCCACATTTGGTAAATCGCGGCGCCATTCTGAGATCGCTGGGTGTTTGCTGGGCAATCTTTAGGCAATAACAAAGAGCCAAAATTGAAGGCGACAGAGGCGGAGGATGGCCGGGATTCAACAGGTTCTAGGGCCTATGGATTCCTTTTTACGGAATGAATATATACATACCCCCCCCCCCCCGAGACCACCTGGGCCTGTCAAGTGACATTAGCAAACAGTTAGCGAGTTGCTGGGTGTGTGTTAGTGGCGTTCGCCCCGTCTAGACTTCTCCCAAAATTTGGTCTCCAAAGACAACGGGCACCTGGATGAGATGCCAAGAGATAATGCTGCGCAGTTTTCGCCTCCTTTCAAAGGATCCGCCTCCCATTTCTTCTGCGATAAAATGACAAGCCAGCGCACAGCCTCGATGATTATGCGTATACGCGGAACGATGCGTAATTCTGTTCAAAGACACCAATTTGCAAAAAGACCCCGGGGCTTGCAACATTGTGTTTTGTCGTAATAGTGACGATGTATAAAGCGGGTCTGTTATTATGACGTAATTCCACCCGCGTATGCAATGAGACAGCTATCGAGGAACTGAAAGAATGAATGAAACGATGAAACGCGCGAGGCCATAGAGGCTCGACAGGCACATTACATATTACGTGAATAGAAAGAGGATACGGTGCTATATGGCGCAAAGAATCATGCAAATCACTACGAGTGGCTTTTTACGTCACATTTCAATGAGGTCAGAACGAGCTAGATCCAAATAACAACCACATCCTAACCCCAGACTAGCAATGATAAGACAGAGCTACAACGGTGGGCATACGACGTATTACATCGTACAACCAAGCGACCTTTGCAAGCAATCTGCAAGACGATTGTTTTATTGGTCCCCGGAAAGAAAAGACCAGAAAGTGAGACTAGGATATACCAGACGCGGACCTGGGCTGTGGCGTGCATCAAAAGCGAAAAAGAGCTGCAGAGCTCCTTGGTTCATGAGCAGCTATGGGCACAAAGAGGAGGGGAGGGGGCGGGTTTGGAGTGGTTAGGCGCATCTGCGGGTGTGAGCAACATGAGGAGGGAAAGGAGTCAGAGATGGCCTAGCCAAAACAAAGAGCCCAATGGGGACGGCCCCCTCGTCCTCCCTATGTCCTCTCAACACCCTCTTTCTTTCTTCTCTGTGTCTGCGTCCATTCCGCGTCGACCAGGATCCCCTCTTCTTAACTGTTTTTGTC